CAGTGGGAACAGCCAATGCAAAGCTGTGAAGTAGGAGTGAAGATGGGAGGTTTGAGAACAGAGGGATCCAGCAGGCTGGTGGATATTGATCAATGGGGAGTGAGTGAAGTTTAATTGGGCTCACTTGCAGGCTGTGTGTGAAGTCTGGATCTTACTCTTAAGACTGGTAGCTATTTGGAGGATTTTGAGCAGAGGTATGGCATTTCTGATCTAATTTTTAAGATAATTTATTGGAGTGACATTGGTTAATAAAATTATGTTTCAGGTGCACAATTCTATAATGCATCATTTGTATATTTTGTGTTCACCACCCATCATCTCCATCACTATTTATCCCCTTTACCCTCTTCTACCTCCCCCAACCTGTTCCTCAGGTAATCATCATATCACTATGTCGGAGTTTTTTGTATTTTGCTTAATCCCTTCACCTTTTTCACCCAGCACTGCTGCTCTCTTCCCTCTGTCAGCTGTCAAACTGTTTTGTATGAGTGTTTTCTATTTTGTTAATTATGACCTACTATTTGTAAAGGCATCTTTGTGGTGAAAAGACTACAGGAGCAAGAACAGCAAGAGCAGTCAGAGGCACGAGGCGAGTGAAGCTCATCTAGACCCAGATGGTAGCAGTGAAGATGCCAAGTAGACAGATACAGGGAGTGTTAAGGTATTTGAAGCCCATTCATCCCTAAATTTCCCAAAAAGCCACAGGGCAAGAAACTGCTTTCTTTTCTCCTTTGCTATACAAATTCTGATGGGCCCATTGCAGATGGGGGTCTATCAGCCCTTCCTAAATACCTCTCAGAGACCCCCACCAGTTTGAGCACTCTAGTCTATAATTACCACATAAAAGCATGCCCTTGACAGCTCTGTTCATATTCTATCCTATATAAGTGTAGTATGCAGCTGAAACCAGTTTGGCTCAGTGGTAGAGTGTCGGTCTGCAGACTGAAAGGTCCCGAGTTCAATTCCAGTCAAGAGCACGTACGTTGGTTGTGGGCACATCCCCGGTAGGAAGTGTGCAGGAGACGGCTGGTCGATGTTTCTCTCTCATCGACGTTTCTGGCTCTCTCTCTCTCTCCTTTCCTCTTTGTAAAAAAAAAAAAATCAATAAAATATATATTTTTTTAAAAAGTGTAGTATGCAAATTGTCCCTTGAACTGGGAGTTCATCCAGGAGTTCAAGGGGGCAGGGCCAGCTGGGGGAAGCGAGTACACAGCCAGCAGCCCCTAGGGACCCTACCAGTGCACAAATTTTGTGCACTGGGCCTCTAGTATGGTATAAACAGAGAGACAAACAAATGTTAAGAAAACAATGAGTTTTAATAAAATTACTGTTAATTGAATCAGCACACATCAAAGTGGCATTACAAACACCTTCTTAATGACAACAGATGGCAAATTTATACAGGCTAGAACATAATGAATACAAAATCCATCCAGATACCATGTAAAAAAAGCATCACATAACAAAAGCAAATATAATTCAAGTGGCTAAAGAACTCAAGCCCCGCATTTTGATAATTGCACACAGTTTTCAACGTTAGCGCATCTAAAGCTTGCCCCTGGTCAGGGCACTATTCAAGACTACAGCATCTTCAATGATTCTAATGATTTTAAAATTCTAACACTTTTAAGCATTGATGTCAAGAGACATCGGATAAAAGGTTCACTATGCAAAACTCAAACAAGAATATGTGAACGTTCTTTGCAAACTGTAAGGTGCTGTGCAGATGTTGTTAGCTATTGCTATTATTGTTCAGTGAGATTTCACTGAACCTGAGAAAAAGGAAGACTAGTCTGTGTAACTGACAAATATGACTTGTAGAATATATTAAAAGGAACGTAGATATTACTTTTAAGTACACATAGCAATAAAACTGGCAAGAAAGGTGTGGCCAGGAATGATGGTAACTTTAGGAATTCCAGGCTATTTTTAATATATAAGGGTTTAAGCTATTCATAGGTTACAAATAATAGTTATTATTAGGTTCCCCAAGTCCCTGAAAACAAGTTATTTTCTCAGGTGACCCTTTCCCCTTGGGGAGGGGGGGGGAATATATATATATATATATATATATATATATATATATATATAGTCAAGTTATTAATATACTTTTTTTGTCCAGCTCTTGCAAAATTTATCTTAAATATGAGTTGAGTCTGAATTTAAAAAGTTGTACTTCTGAGGTGGAGGATGCAGAGTGCTCGATGGCAGAGAAATCCACTGCTGACCTAAGACAAGTGACAAAGTCAGCACCATAGCAGAATCATTTATAAAAGGGACCTAACTTTACTGGAGCATGAAGCAATAATCATGAACTGGTCTAGAGATAAGAAATACACACCAGATATGGTTGAGACAAGATGTTTCATGTACCTCCAGCTTCCATTTTTCCTTGAGTACTCCTTATTTATTTAACTGTTTTTACTGGTCTCCTTGGGTACTCGAGATATATACATACATTTATGTAAAAATGGGAAATAAACACCAAACAAGTCAATCAGTTGTCTCTATTGGCAAAGATGATGAGATTTTTATGGTTAAAACAGTCCAATTATTACATTGCATTTCCAGTTGGATTCCCAGGAAACACAGGTGTGTGTTTTGTTTTTTTAACGAAAGGCTTAAATTTCCTCAGTAACAACTCAAAACTGAACTTTGCTGCTACATGTAAAATGATATCCACTTGAAGAGCTAATGACATCAGATGCATTCTACAGCAGACTTTTCAGTTTTCAGCACAATGAGGAAACGAGATTATATTCTGGGGAGGGGGAGGCAAAAATGGAGGAGAAGTGAGAAAGGTAATGCTTTACAGTAAATGGGGTAAAATCAGTAGCTTGTACTGACATTCAAGTTACACTTCCTAATTGAGGTTATTCTTATAATTAGTTTTCAAATAATAGTGAACATATTCCTAACTTAAAACATGTATAAGGGCTCAATGGTAGCTTTTCTTTTTATACATCCTGAAGTATGTACACTGTACAACAGAAAACCAGTGAAAAATAAACCTATGTCAAATACCATGTAATTTCAACAGCAGCACACTAACGAGATAACAGTTGAAACCCCAGGAAAAAAAATTAACTGGTTTGAAAACAAGTCTATACTGTAATAATCCTAAATATTAATACTAGCATCAAAGTCTACATTTCAAACACTTGGTACTTTTTCCAAGAGGAAATTACAACTGCTTGAATCCCTGGTTTAAATACTTGCAGAAAAATACCCATATAATTATCTACTCAGCAAATGTAGGAAACAAAATAATCAACATGGGACATTAATATTTTACAAACAGCATAATATCCCAAAAGTAAAAGAAAAAACATTGGCATTATAGAAAAAGAAATTAAGTGGACAACAATTCTAAGTGCAACATTCTAAAAGTGGGGATCATCTAGAAATCTAGAAACCACATAATACCCCAGACTCAAACAGGGGCATTCTATAATTTTATATTAAATTTGTACAATTTTATACTAAAACTGTAGGCTTTTTTTTTAAGAGAAAGCACTTTACATTTAGAATAAATGCTAATAGAAGACATTAAACTATAGACAATATTTAACTCTAAGCAAGAATACAATTCTGCATTAAAAATAGGGGTGAACAAACAAATTGGTAATGACAAACGCAGCAAGAGCCATTGTTTTAGAAATTAACAGTAACAGGACATTTGAACAATGATATACCTACTTGAGACACCTACCTGAAAGAAAAAAGGTACAATGTAGTTTTTCTGATTTTTAGAAAATGGCCACTAATCACTCATGAAAAAATGCAAATAGCTGTCAGGAAAAGTTGGCGGAATCTGAACTTATTCTAAACTTTTAGTGAGTATCGAACTAGCATTAAGAAATGCATACAAGATGTAAACCAAAGTAGTGGTTATCTCCGGATGGCAAAATTACAGGGTAACTTAAATTTTCTCCCTCTTTTTACATGCATTTTCTGGGTTTGTTTTCAGATTGAATACAAGTAGTACCAAGTTGCTAGAAAGAACCATACACTAAAGATACTAAAATAAAAACACAGGTCTTTTTCTATCAGAAAGGGCCTCGAGAATTACCTAATTATATACATCTGGGATATATTGACTCTGATTGAAAAGACTAGACTAGAAATCCCAAGAATACCTCCTGGGTGATAAAAACTATTTTCAGAATTGTTCCCATTCCCTAAGTATGCAAAAATAAGCATTTAAATGTAAATTCCTATCATATGAAGTATAAAAAAAACAGTAGAAAAAAACAAATTTAAAGGCAATTTACACAAACCTGGTAATTAAAGCATAACTTCATTGTTGAACAAGAGCAAAACAGCTTATTAAAGAGTTGATGTGAAAGCACAGGCTGGCCTGCAGGGAGGCAGCTAGCTCTGCTTTGCTACCGAGATCCCTCGATAAATCAGTTCGTGTAAAATGGATGGAATTCAGCCTAGTTTTCCCATGAAATAATGTAAGGAAAGGTTCCTATTGACTAGGGATTAAACTTTTTTTTGAAAATTCTCAATGACATTCAGAAAAATTCCAGCATTAACAATTTAAGCAATTTTCCATAGGAATTTACAGACCAAAATCCAATGACCCGGTACTTTCATGATAATTAAGGAAAGTATTTCAACAAAAGATAAAGTTTAGATTTGCTTCAGTGTATGCCTTATTAATATATCCAGAAAAGTAACATTCAAAGCCAACTACAAGAAAAAATGCTACAGAATATTTTTGTTGTAAAATATTCCCAGAATAATGCGTAATGAAACATAATTATTTGCCACCAATTTAATTTTTCCAAATTTTCATTTGAAAATGAGAGGCTTATAGTTAAAATAGATGATGCAAACCACTATATCAGAAAGATCAAAATTTACACTAGTCAAATGTGACTCATTAAAGATGGATTTTAATATGTTCTTTCACCATTATTGAAATAATCAGTATCCTGGATGCATTTGCCATTTTTAAGACAATATAACACTATCAAAAGGTGTTGTTCACTTTAATCCTGTTTGCCTTCACGCCACTGTCGTGAACCTTCATTCCAGGCCACATAGACAAAGAGGGCCAGCACCACATGGACAGCAACCACGGCAACAATAGCAGCATAAAAATAGCTATCCCTATTGGACATCCCAAAGGCACCTATCAAGAGATAAAAGTTTTCATTTTATTCCAAAATTTATCACAGTATGAGAAAAACAAAGCATATTCATTTTTATTAGCTATATTTAATTAATCAGGGAATTAAAAAGGAACAGTTTGGGTGGTGATAAAACAAGTATTTATTTAAAGATTTAAATACCTTCTTATGCACAAAAAATTATTTTGAATGGGAACTGTAATTATCACAACATCTAAGGACTGACACAAAAAGGGGACTTTATTTCCTCTTCCTTCCAATGTCTGCCACCCAAGGTACATTCCCCCCAAATTCCTCCTCCCATGTCAGCCAACTTTTGCTCTCAAAGGGATATTAAAAGAAAGAATCTGCAACTATTTCATAGAAAACCATAAATGATTATGATGTCAAGCTGAAATACTTGTGAGTGATGAAAATATTCATTCAGAGCAACATTATATTTGAAAAGCAAAACAGACGAAAGAAGCAAACTTAAGAATACCCAGTCATAAAGCACAGAACATCAATTATAGTAATATGTCTACAAAAATATAATTACCTTCAAAAACATAAGATTTAGTGGTGAAATACAACCCAATAGGTACAGTGATCATTAAAGCTGTGAAGAACAGCAGAGTCTTCAGGGTAGATGCCAATGAACTCTCATTTCTGGAATAAAGTAAACAAAGAGAAAATCAGAACCTGCACAGCCATTTCCAACCCTTCTTTTGTCTATAAACACTATAAATACTCACAGAGAAGACTCTGGAAACCCTGCTCCTGCCTTCAAAGCAGTGGCCAGAGGAAGAGGAGCAGTCAGGGACTCAAAACTGAAAGATCTTAGAGACCCAGCTGCAGGCCCATCTCCAAGAGACTGTCATTCACATCCAGTGTAAGAGGAAGTATCAAAGTGTGAAAGTAGTTTGTAATCTCCAAAGTGCTATGCAAATGTACACTGTAATTACAGAATTTTGGAGGTAGCAAGGGAGAACATACACAGAAAACACTAATGGCTAGTACAAACAAGGTACGAGAATCTCCAAGGAAAAAGTAGTTTAGAACAATCTGGATGCAACTGAGCAAATTCACTTAAAATGTCTTTGTAATTAAATAGCTATAGTACAGTTAGGATGGGCTTCACATAACATGGATGCATGAAGTTTGAATGTCAAAACAGTTTCTCATCACTGAATTCTATTTGTCCACAGACTATTTTAAAACCAATATTCTAATGGAAAAAGTTTTGTTCCAGAAAACAATAAAACTACTCTGAAGAATGTAACCAAGTTTTAAAATTATATATGTAAAGAAAAATAAGTCCAATAAACGGCTACTTCAAACATTAGCAATATAAAGATTAATAGAGCATAAACAAAACTACATAACATAAAAATGTCCAATAATAGGAAAATTATTTCACAAATGATGTGCATCAATATATGGAGACCTTAAAAAGAATTTTGACTATTATTCACAAAATATTCATGTGACAAATGAACAAGGGAAATTACAGTGTATTATGTGTCAGGGGTCTGCAAAATAAGGCCTGAGGGGCCACCACTCATTTCTGTAAATAAAGCTTAACTGGGACACGGCTACACCCATTTGTTTATGTATCATCTAAGACTGCTTTGGAACTGCAAAGGCAGAACTGAGTGGTAGACCATAAGGCCCTCAAAACCCTAAAATATTTTACTATCTGGCCCTTTACAGAAAGTTTTCCAAGTCCTGATGCTGTTTTACTGACTTTTTAATGTCGGAATTTGTCCTATGCATTCCAAATGAGCAATATTATTGAAACTGAGTTTCAGCCGAAACCGGTTTGGCTCAGTGGTAGAGCATCGGTCTGCGGACTGGAAGGTCCCAGGTTCGATTCCAGTCAGGGGCATGTACATTGGTTGTGGGCACATCCCCGAAAGGGGGTGTGAAAGAGGCAGCTGGTCGATGTTTCTCTCTCATCGACGTTTCTAGCTCTCTCTCTCCCTCCCTTCCTCTCTGTAAAAAATCAATAAAATATATTAAAAAAAGAAAAAGGAAAGAAACTGAGCTTCAGTAAGCTTCCAGCAACCCTAACACATACACACCACCTGATTAATTACCAACTTCAACCCTATAGCTTTAATCACTAATTTAATTAAGGTCCTTTTTTCTCCTTAAATCTAATCATCCTGACTACTTAGCACACTTCTAACTTTATGCTCATAGTCAGCACCTACATTTAATTCTCTTTCTGGTAATCCTCAGTTAGAGGCTCATTTTTATGTGTTACCTTTAGGAAAGAGAGCTCAACAATCAAGGTCCCCCAAAAATATTCTCCCCTCCAGGCACCTTTCCTCATTACACCCTGAAAAGAGTCACTGCTCTCTGGGATCCAATCACACTTTGTTCACACCTCATATGACAGTTTGCTTCCTATATAGTCCTGCACAGCTCTCTGTATCTCTAGAAAACCCAGGCAAAGGAGTTCTTATAACTGCATATAGAATTAGCAGGAAGGTTTCTGACAGCCCCAAAGGAAGGGAACATCATAAGTTTATTACAAACTTTTTGACTGTGCAATCCATCATCAAATAAAAGTTACCAGCGCATACCCCATAGAGGCATTTTGATGTTTTATATAGACAAATTAATAGCCTTTAAAATATAAAACATATGCAAAATGGGTACTAAACAGGTATTCAGATTTATGTAGAAGTCCTAATATTTTCTTTCCGTACTTCAATAGATCATCTTTAAACATTTAATTTAGCATTTAACACTTTGGTGATCACTATACAATTTTCATCTAAAATGCATAAGCTTCCTTAAACTACTTCCTAGCAGTACATTTTTAGAGGAATTTATTTGTGTAATCTTCTTGACAAACATGAGTGTCTGCAGTAGTTCTATAAAAACAGTCAGCATTTGGCCTCTTTTTCGTGGAGCCTCCAAAAAAAAAAAAAAAAACCCAAAAAAACTTGACTTTCAGGGAGTATCTCTGGAGCGTTAAAGTATGGATTTTAGGGACATAAAGTTCAGATTATTTAACCTGATAAAGAAACAGAGCTTAAGAATCTAGAGAAAGGGCTGATTAACTGGTTTTCTTGTTCTTTAGATTACTTCCCTCGAATATTTATTATCTGGCCTGGTTTTGAGAAAAGATTATTGAAGATATAAAACATATGATTGTGCTGCACATGGGCCGAATTTTTAAAATTTTTTTTAAAGACTTGAAGTAGAACCTTGTAATTTGTGTAAATGACACGTGTAAAATCTTACCTTAAAATGCTAAAAAAAAAAAAAAAATGCATTGTTTCAAATAAAATCAAGAAATGCAGCATTAAAAAAAATAAAAATGTTTTAAAGCTAACAAAATCCCTTCTAATTCTACCACCCAACATAATATTTTATTTTCTGCATGTTAATTTCTAGCCCCACACACTCCACATATAACATATCTTAAAAATTTGTAGTTTATCTTCAACTCCTTTTTCTTTACCTTAAACTCCAAAAGTTTGACTCTTATTATGGGCTATGACCTCGTATATATGGGACTCAGTATAAAGTTAGGCATACCAAAGTTTGAAAACTAGCAAACTTCTCTAGTGCTTAGAGGACATTTTCTCCTTGGCTGCTAGACACAGCCCACTGCAGCTGGCAGTTCTGCTAGCTTGCACAAGGCAGCTTGGGTACAACCAGTGATTTATTCTAAAACAAAGTGATGGCATTCAACTGGTTTTTCCTATGTGGCTTTGACTTGTTAGAAAGGAACAGTGTGGAAGTCCAGAATTAAAGTTGGTTTCATGCAAAAGAAATAATGCAGGTGAATCTTATTGTGCCCCTTTTAAAACCACTTAAGAGTTTACCCGCTTCATATAAACTTCTGCAGCAAACACTAAGCAGGTAACAGAGCTTACAACGTCCCCTTTTGTGGCAAGACTTCTACTCCTAGTAGATTTCACTGCAATGCCCATTAGGAAACACGAAAACCAGCCTAGAAGGGCTAAGAGTGTATTTTAAGTGTACTTAATGAAAATACCTGTTGGTATCCTTACTAATAAACTGTAATAAAAAATAAAAAAAACCACATCTACACAACACTATATTGACATTGTGAGATGGGGAAAAAAAGAGCACAGGCTCCAAAAATAACGAAATTTAATGTCACAGTGAACTAGGTCGAATGCCAGCTTTAACACTTAACTTGTGTGGCCTGTGATATTGAGCAAGTCACTTACCCTGAGTCAATTTCAGCTTCCTTAAAACCAGGGAAACTAAGCACTTCCTTCATTCTGATAATGTTTGTAATAAAGCACCTATGCTGAGCTTGGCACACTGTAGGTCCGCACTGAATAATAGTAGCCAAATCCCTTCATCCCTTCCCAACCTCTACCCTACCGAGATACAGAGGTGCTGCTGGCTGAACTAGTTGGCCAGAACCACCTGCTCCCTTAAACTCCTTCTGCTCAGCCACCATCCCCTATCCTATGGACTCTCCACCAGAAGCAGCCTCACACCAGGGACAGCCCCTTACTCCCTTCCATTCATTTATGCAGCACTTATTAAGCCCAGATGGTGCAGGCCCTGTAGGGGACACGGAGATGAAGAAGGCCGGGCTCCTGTCCTCAGGGGGCACCCTGTAGTGGGGAAAGAGATTGCAGACAGCAAGAACGCAAGATAGACGACAGTGAGAGAAACTGCTAAGACAGAAATTAAGAGCTGTACGCCCGCCGGTCTATATGGTCCCATAGCCCCGGATTCCTTGCTCCCGAGCCAAGGGCCGGGCCAGGCGTGCAAACGCTGCTTGCCCCCACCTCCTTCCCCTCTCCCCCACCTGCAGCCGGGCCCCGGGGGTCCAGACCTCACACCCACCACAGGCCGGCCTGTTCGGCTCGGCCCGGCTCGCGGTCGGGGTCCCCTCGCCCGGCCCGAGCCCCGCTCTCGACTGCCCAGCTCTGGGCCCCGCCGGCCCGGCTCGCGGTAGGGGTCTCCCCTCCCCCCCACCCCCTCACCCCCCCACCCCCCTCGCCCGGTCCGAGCCCCGCTCTCGACTGCTCGGCTCCGGGCCCCGCCAGCCCGGCTCGCGGTCGGGGTCTCCCCTCCCCCCACCCCCCCAGCCCGGCCCGAGCCCCGCTCTCGACTGCCTGACTCCGGGCCCCGCCGGCCCGGCTCGCGGTCGGGGTCTCCCCCCCACCACCCCCGCCCGGCCCGAGCCCCGCTCTCGACTACCTGACGTCGGGCAGCTGCAGCGCGTTCAGCGCCGCTTTATCGATGCGCTCCATGGCGTCGCCACCCGCAGCAGGTCCCCGCAAGCGGCCCGGGCTCAGCAACCACTCTCAATTGGTTTAAACCACGAGCGGTAGAGGATGGCCGCGACGGAAGTGCCGGCGAGCGCGGGGCGGCGGGACGCTGTGCGCATGCGCGGCGCGCCTTGGTGACGCGAGTTTCGGCGGGCGCCGGCGTTCACGTGACTTACCGAATGGGGTTCCGAGGCGTGCGCCCCGGTGGGGGTGGCCCGTCGTCGAGGAGTAGCCCGGGCGAGTAGCCTAGCCACTCCACGTTGAGCCTGGACTTGCCTCGCAGCATGGTTCTGCCGGGCGCGCGGCGCTTTTGCCGCTGCCCCCTGAGCGCCGGCGAATACCTCCGTCCGGTCCGAGCCCCTGTCGCAAAAGCTGCGGTTGCGAGGCGACGGGAGCAGCTGAGCCGAGAGGAGGGACGTCCAGGCAGACCAGTGTGGTGCTAGGCAACCAAGCAGATTCCGATGACAACAACAGGAAAGAAAGGAAAAAAAAAAAAAAAAAAAAGCAGTGCACATTATTCCCCAGCCCTTGAGCAAATGCCTCATTAATTATTACCCGCAGTGAAGTCAGCCTTGGGAAGCTGGGAGGAGTTAGTTAACACTTACCTATAGAATTTCAGAGCTGAAAGAGCCCTTGCTGAGAGTAACGGTTCCAGGCTCCACGCCGATGACCCCAAAGTCCACTGAAAGTTTAAAACATATTTTGCAGCTGCTTCGAAAGCCGCCAATGAGACAGCAGGGACTCAAATAGGAAGGGACAGATGGGCCTCCCGGGAGGGCGGGCCTCGCAACCCGAGAATGCATAAACGAAAAGGGTGAGTAAGCCTAGGGTCAGGCTTGAGAAACTTAGGTTGTCACTGGCTGCTAATATGAGGACAGCCCTTACATGGTCAACTCCTGGAAAGGGCCACTGACCACATATCTATTTTCTGCATCACATGGACACAAACACCACATTTGAAATAATGACTAAACCAGCAGCTTAAAGCTTTGTTAAAGGACTGTGGACTGTGTGGCAGGAAGCCAGTCTTTGAGTTCAAATTTAATAAGCCCTCTCTGGGCCTCATGCAGACCCTTAGGGGAATAAGAATCAGCTAATAACCAGATCTAGGGCAGAATTAGAGAGACTCTAGCTCTGGGGTTTGCAAATCTCTGGCCAAATATGTACAGCCAGCCTGCCTACCACCTGTTTTTCTGCAGCCCATGAATTAAGAAAGCTTATTCCATTTTAAATTATTTTTTAACGAAAAGAAAAATAATATATTGCCACATGTCAAAATTAGATGAAATTCAAATTTCACTGTCCATAAATAAAATTGTATTGACACTTAGCATGCTCATTCATTTGTATTGTCTATGGCTGCTTTCATGCCACAACAGCGGCAGGGTTGAGTAGTTAGAGATTCTTACTGTCCACAAAGCCTAAAATGTTCATTTTCTGGCTCTTGACAGGAAAAGTTTGCTGGCCCCTGGTCTAGCTAATCACCCAGTAATGAGTTCCTTGAACCCCTAGGGATCCATAGATGTAGTAATGGGAGTTCTGAGAATAATTTTCAATATTAAAAAAAATCCACCAATGAATGTATTTATTGTATGTATTTATTTGCTATAAGGAATCAACAGCTACTTAAAACATCACCTTTCTTTGATGTCTGGCACTAATTACATCACATTGATAAGGTAATACTGGTTACTGAATGAGAAAATACACATACTTTTACTAAACCAAAATAAACTATTGTATACTTGGCTGATTAAATATTTTAAAACAGAATGAACACAAGAGGAGGGGTCTTTGCTTTATGACTTTGTGTATCTCCAATGCTTAGAATGAGAGCCTGATACATATTTGTTAAATTAATGAATTGGGTCCACAAGGGGGCAAAGAGCAAAAGGGTTGTTTGTAGAGAAAAGATTGGAAACCACTGATGTATTAGCTTGCTAGGTCTGCCTTAGCAAACTACCGTAAAATGAGTGGCTTAAACCATAGAAATGTATTGCCACACAATTCTGGGGGCTAAAAGTCTGAAATCAAGGGGTTGGCAGAGTTCGTCCCTTCTGAGGATAGTGAGGGAGAATCTATTCAGTGCCTTTCACCTAATTTCTAGTGGTTTGTTGGCATTGTTTGGTGAATCCTGATTTGTAGAAGCATCCCCCTTATCTCTGCATTTATCATCCCAGGGCATTCTCCCTGTGTCTGTATCTGTGTCCAGATTTCTTCATTTTATATTTTCTATTAGATTGGGAGCCTATCTTACTCCATCATGCCCTCATTTTAATAGTTACAACGAAAACGACCTTAAATCTAAATAAGATCACATTCTGAAGTACTGGGGATCATGAGTCCAACATAGGAATTGGTGGTTGGGACACAATTTAGGAAACTGTGTCCTGGAAAGAGAAGGGATTTGTCAGAAGTCATATATTTACCTAGTGGGGCCCAGCTCCTCTCCTGCCTCCCCAGTCAGCACTTTTACCCTTTCACATTAGCAACCCATGTGACAAGTGGCGTGATAACTTAGACAAGAACCAGTCATAAATGAGATTTGATGTGGGACAAAATGCCTGACTGATCTCATTTATATATTCATTGTTTTATTTAATTAAATTAAAACTCTCATACTTTTTATTTTTTCCGGACTTCTACGCTCTACCCACACTTACTATGTGCTCACTGAGGCGGAGATTAAACTTTTAAGATAAACTAAGAAGTTGTAAGAGAAAGAAAGAAATTAGCCAGCACTTTGGCCCCTCACCAAAGTCCTGAAACCTCCTACCTGCAGCAGCTGCTAAATAACTAAAAGCCAGTGAAGCCCAAACAGTGCCGTTGCCATGGAAATGAAACGGCATGTCAGGCAACTGGAAGTTGTGCCTCCCTTGTTCCTTTGAGAATCAGAAAATGATTCTCAGATGGAAAGAGCCTCAGTCTGGCCATTTCATTCATTTATTTATTTATGTATTTATTTATTTTGGCCATTTCATTTTAGTTGAGAAAACGAAAATCAAAGGATGGAAAGTGACTTTCCCAAATTCACTGGATCAGCAAACGGATTAGAAAATGTAGAGTTCCTAACTCTCAGTCTAGTGTTTTCTTCACCATAATGTGTTAAACCTTAGTTCCATAACCCAATGATATGGAAAGTATATGCCCAAAGTCAGTTTGGCAACACCCCCAATTTTCTTTATGGACTACCAAAACCATGACACCCTTTTCCCCCACTCAAGCAGTCTCCTATCGGGTGGCTGGCAGAGGGATAGAATGAAAACAGCCATGCTTAAAACACCAACTTATACTTTCTGAAACTGATGCATGCACAACCTGGCATCTTAAAAGCTAAGCCATGAGGAAAATAAAAATAAGCTTCACTGTACAATCAACAAAACTCACATTTAAAAAAAATAAGAAAGACAGAAACTCTGGCTTCTTTATAAAGAGGCGTGATGTTTTGTTTTGTTTTGTTTTTCATTTTTTAAATTTATTTTTAATTTCTTTATTGATTAAGGTATCACATATTTGTCCTCAACCCCCCATTCCAGTTCCCCACCCCACCCCACTCATGCCCCCACCCTCCTATTGTCCTCGACCACTGGTTAGGCTCATATGTATGCACATAGTCTTTTGGTTGATCTCTCCCTTTTGTCCCCACCCTCCCTTAGAGGTCCAACAGTCTGACCCATGGCTCCTTATCTCTGGGTCAGTTCTTGTTCATCAGTCTATGTTGTACACCATTTCCCCTAGATGAGTGAGATCATGTCCTACTGGAAATATAAGAATCAAAAATGAGACAAGCAATAATCATTATGCTGAAAGGCATATGAATCAGTCTGTAGAGAGTTTCTTTCTGGGCCACCAGTTCTTTTGAGACCCAATTTCAATGTCAATATGGATAAAACATGCCCTTGATGAAAAAACAAAAACAAAACAAAACAAAAAAAACAGTTCCACTTCTAGAAAAAAAGAATAACCAAGGAGTTTTGGCTGGGGGTTATTTTATTTATTTTTATTAAAAAAAAAAAAAAAAATATATATATATATATATATATATATATATATATATATATATATATATATATATAAAATTGATTTTTTACAGAGAGGAAGGGAGAGGGATAGAGAGCTAGAAACATCAATGAGAGAGAAACACCAACCAACCAACCAACCAACCCCCCCCCCCCCCCCCGCACACACACTCCCCACCTCGCAACCAAGGCACACACCCACACACCCCCAACCAGAATTGAACCTGGGATCCCTGAGTCCTCAGGCTGACACTCTATCCACTGAGTCAAACCGACCAGGGCTGGCTGGGGGTTATTTTAGTAAAACCCTCTTTTGTTAGGATCCCCTGGGCAACAAAATGCAAGTTTTACTGCAGGAGAGAATTTTTCCTTGAATCCATTAGCTCATCTTCTTTGCCTCAGGCCACCACCATTACCACCAAAACCTGTGTCAGGTTCTTCGTTATACAGAGACTATTCACAATGCCTATAATTTATTTACCATCACCATTTCACAGATAGAAAGACTGAGGCTAAGGAAAGTTTGGAAGTTGGGTGAAGACCTGAAAGGGCCCCTTATCTCCTGATCCTCAACCATTTCCCTAAAATTGACATTAGACCTCTTTTCCCATCTCCATCTGCAGGAGAGCTAAGTTAACCTCTTAGAGCTAGTGATGAGACTTGCTAATGGAGTCAGGGAATGCTTGGGGTCCATGACTGAGGACTAGGCTCACCCACCTGGTTTAGGAGTTAAGACTTGTAATGCACTAAGTAGAGCCCATGGACCTTCTTGCAAAGCAAAAATAGGCGCTGGGGAGCAGTGAACCAGGCCCCACCCCTGCCCAGCGTGATACAGGGTCAGCCTAGGATCTCAAATCCCCTGGCACATCACAGGGTTTATTAATGTCAGAAGAACCATGGCCCATGACATGCAGCAGGGTCCCACGGTGAACCTGGCTCCAGTGCTTTCCAGATGGGTTTGACACCTCAGGCTGTGCTATGGGAAGGGGTACTTAGCAAGAAAACCCCAAGGACTGATGTGATTAGGATCATACCCCAAGATATACATATGCTGTGCTCAACAAGGGCTAGGGACAGACGTGTCTTGAGACCAGCTGGTTGAGTGAAGAAGAGAGTGCCAGCACCCAGAAAGTAAAATCAGGGCTCCATCAAACTCTATTGTGCAGAAACACTGCCCATCCCTGAGCTTATAGCTAGGCGCTGAGGTCTCTGGGTCAGGTTTCCAGGTAGTCTTTCTGTGAGCCAAGCAAGTGGAGTGGGGCAGGAG